AGCTGTCCTCCCGCCGCGGGCTTCCAAAGGGCTGGGATTACAGACATGAGTCACTAGGCCCTTTTTTTTTTTTTTTTTTTTTTTTTTTAAGACTGTCTCACTGGCGTTTCACCTTGTTGCCCAGGCTGATCTTGAACTCCTGAGCTCAAGCAATCCTCTCCCCTCAGCCTCTCAAGGTGCTGGGATTACAGACGTGAGCCACCATGCCCAGCCTCTAAAATCGAGATAGAGAAATATTACATTATTCTTGCCTTTAGTAAATTACAATCAGATTCGGGGAGTATGGGATCCTAATTTATCCCATCAACACTATAAACCTTAGATTCTTTCATAGAAGAGGAAAGAGATGAAGAAGATAATAACCCAGAACCCTGCCTAAGGCCTCAGACGATTCACTTACTCATATTTACTAAATATATCCTGTGTGCCAGATGCTGTTAGATCTGGGAACCAGATAGATGAGATCTGTTTTGGAGGCTGTGAAGAAGGTTGGCCTGGAACCGGTTGACTCTGGCAATTTCTTTTCCTTTTTTTTTTTTTAATCCCCCAGGCTGGAGTGCAGTGGTGCGATCTTGGCTCACTGAAAGCTCCGCCTCCCAGGTTCACACGATTCTCCTGCCTCAGCCTCCAGGTACCCGCCACCATGCCCGGCTAATTTTCTTTTTTTTTGTATTTTTAGTAGAGACGGGGTTTTGCCGTGTTAGCCAGGATGGTCTCTATCTCCTGACCTCGTGACCCACGCGCCTCGGTCTCCCAAAGTGCTGGGATTAAAGGCGTGAGCCACCACGCCCAGCCAACATTGGCAATTTCTAAGGAGGAAATTGAACTGACTTGGGATGAGGCAAATACTATTGTTATACCCTCTGTGAACTAGAGAAGAAAATTCTGCTGGATAACTCAGATCAGGCCACTTTTGTTCTACACAAACTGTTTCTTCAGGGTAAGAAAACAAGTTGATGTCATCAAACACGTTCATTCTCATTCATTTATGTTAGAAAGAAGAAGTACAGCATAATTTGCCAGGTAATCTCTTCTTTCCTTTCCCCCACCCCTGCATTTGTAGGGTACCCTAGCATGGCACCAATGAGACAGGCAGGAGACCCTCAGCCCCTGCAGACACAGCCCTGTTGGCACATACACCCTCCCTCTGCTGTAGGAGGCTTATGATGACTTGTCATCAGAATAAAAAGGGAAAAACACAGAGTAAACAAAACCTGAGACATGGACTTGCCAGACGATGGGAGGAAAATGTAGAGGCTGAATGTAATTTAAGAAAGAGCACTGACGGAAATAAAATGTGAAAATCACCATGTTTCATTGAATATATTTGAATTACATTTTGTTTACCTCATTTGTCCTATTCTTAAACATTTTCTACTGAAAATATGGACAAAGCATTTTATTCTATTTCTCCCCTTATCAAACAGGAAGTTGATTTTTAGAAAATTAGGGCTCACAGTTGAGAATAAACCAATGTGGAAATATCCTTTAGTTTAGCAAAGTATTTTTAATAGAGAAATTAACTACTAATATGTCATTGCTCTTGCACACAAATCTAGAGATTTTTCATCAGGTTTAAAAGTGTCCTTTATTTCCCCTTGACATTTCTCTAATGGTACCTGCACAGTGGACTAATAGGAGAAAACAAGTCACTAACAGATTGTTTCTCTATGTTCAAGACCAGTTAGTCCAGTTCCAGATAAAGCCTGGGGTTTGGATTGCATACCAGGATGGTACGGTGTTCACTCACCCTGGGGTATGTGTCCAACCACAGAGAACAATCCACATTTGCCTCATAGCCTACAGGGTGGCATGAAGTTGTGCTTTTCTTTTCATGTAAGAGAAGGACCAGAAGGAGTCAGACGATTTTGCCCTCTTCCTTTCGTGATGAAACAGCAGGTAAATATAATTAACATGAATAAAGAAACTGACCAGGCCAGGTGCTGTGGCTCATGCCTATAATCCCAGTACTTTGGGAAGCCAAGGCAGGAGGATCTCTTAAGCCCAGAAGTTTGTGATCTCGTCTCTATAAGAAAAATTTTAAACATTAGCCAGGCATGATGGCATGCTCCTGTAGTTTCAGCTACTGAGGAGACTAAGGCAGGAGAATGGCTTGAACCAGCGAGGTCCAGAGTGCAGTGAGCTATGATCACACCAGAGTGACACCCTGTTTCAAAAATAAATAAATAAAAATAAGAAAAGAAAAAGAAACTAAGCAGTTGTATTAAGTTTACATTGCTACTGTAACAAATTATCCCAAACTTGATGGCTTAAAACAACACAAATTTTTTATGTTACAGTGCTCTGTGTCAATCTTACTGGGTTAAAATCAAGGTACTGTCAGCAGCGCTTTGTTCCTTTTTGGAGGCTTATAGAAAGATTCATGTTTTTTTTTGCTCATTGGGTTGTTGCAGAATTCAGTTTGTGGTTGTAGGACTCAAGTCCCCATTTCCTTCCTCATCTTCAAAGCCACTGCCAGCAGCAGTCAAATCCCTCTCATACTTCAAATCTCTCTTCCTTTTCTTTCATCTCATCTCTCTCACCCATCTGCCTTCTACTTCCACTTTTAAGAACTCATGTGATCTGTAATCCCAGCACTTTGGGAGGCCGAGGCGGGCGGATCACGAGGTCAGGAGATCGAGACCATCCTGGCTCACACGGTGAAACCCCGTCTCTACTTAAAATACAAAAAAATTAGCTGGGTGTGGTGGCGGGCGCCTGTAGTCCCAGCTACTCAGGAGGCTCAAGTAGGAGAATGGCGTGAATCCAGGAAGTGGAGCTTGCAGTGAGCAGAGATCGCACCACTACACTCCATCCTGGGTGACAGAGTGAGTCCGTCTCAAAAAAAAAAAAAAAAAAGAACTCGTGTGATTAGATTGGGCCCACCCAGGTAATTCAGGATAATCTCCCAGATCTTTTTTTTTTTTTTTTTGAGACAGAGTCTCACTCTGTTGCCCAGGCTGGAGTGGAGTGGCGCAATCTCGGCTTACTGCAACCTCCACCTCTCGGGTTCAAGCGATTCTCCTGCCTCAGCCTCCTGAGTATCTGGGATTACAGGCATGAGCCACCCCGCCCTGCTACATATTTTTTTTGTATTTTTAGTAGAGACAGGGTTTCACCATGTTGGTCAGGCTGGTCTAGAACTCCTGACCTCGTGATCTGCCCACCTCAGCCTCCCAAAGTGCTGGGATTTCAGGTGTGAGTCACCGTGCCCGGCCAATCTCCCTGATCTTAAAGTCTACATAATCTTAATCCCATCTGCAAAGTCCCTTTTGCCATGCAAAGTAACATCTTTTCAGGCATGAATATCAGGGCATGGACATCTTTGGGTGGGGGTGAAAGTCATTATTCTGCTTACTACACTAGCCTTACATGGGGGACACATAACCAGCATCAAGTTCCCCGGAAAGAAGGAACATGTTGAGATCACACAGCTGGTGTAAGTCCTTTCACTCACATCAAGCGCTATCCCAGGACAGGGCACAGGGTCAAAGCACAGGCCCTGGAGCAGATACCTCGGCTCCATTACTTACTAGCTGTGCACTCTTGGGAAAGTTCTCAACCTCCAAAAGCCCCACTGTTCTCAGTCTATAAAACAAAGATAATGCCAGTATCTATCTCATACGATTTTTGGAATAAATGAGATACTCCACGTAAAGCACTTCACAGAGTGCCTATCTGAAGGACACATACATCAATGAAGTAGACACTAACAAGAGTTTATACCCAACATTATACTATCTTATCTTGTTCCTTTGATTCAAGGATTTGGTATCTGTCAAAATCAAAATACTCTGGCAAAAATAAGAGCACATTTTCATCAATAATTTGACTATGGGAAAGAAGGAGGAAAAGAAAATATACACTGAGCACCTATTTTGTGTTACACGATTTGTGTGTATGAAGATGCTGACAGCATATTTTGATGGAGTCAGGGTTCACTAAGTACCTGAGGATTAAAGGAGTAGTCTTTTCCAAGGTACAAAGTAGTGAAACAAAATTGCTTATTTTTCAGTTTTGTCTAGGATCCTTGGACTAACCCTTGGCCAAGTGAAAGGGACCCTCCAGGCCTACACAGATGTGGGCAAGGAATTGACCTACAAACACACGTCAGGTCAAAGTCAAGCTGTTCTCTGACAGGCGGCAAGCTGATTTATGCAGCTCTTTATCACTTTGCAGTCTCTTCATGCTTCCTGTCTCTCCTCAGTCTCTGACTTTCAGCCTTTTTCGGATGAGTTTTGGCTCACGTTCCTCTAGCTCTTGGACATCAATCATGCTGTGACCACACTGGTTGACTCAAGGACGTGTGTCTTCCTTTCACGACATAAATAACTTTTGCTTTATGATGAGTTCTGCCATGCAGTTAGGAGAGAATTACTTGACCACATAGCCTTTTGCATTTTACCCAGGATAGTCTCCCTAAAGTCCATGCTGAGGGAGATTTATAGCTAGTTAGTGTTGGGGGATTTGGAATAAGGTTTTGGGAGGACAGGCTTGTTTTTGTTTTTTTCACACCATTGTTCCTAACACATCTTTATCTGTTCATAGCCATAACAAAAACACCCTACTAAAAGTGAGAATTCATTAGTCTAAAAAAATTACAATGTATACTCTCTCCAAACAGCACCACCTATTATATGCATCATCTTAACCACCTTTATAGAATTTACTGAAAGTCATTGCTTCTCCACCTTTTGGCTAAGATCAAGGGTAGAATTTACTGAAAGTCACAAGTAAGACTCTGATTTTATACTTTTTTTTTTTTTTTTTTTTTTAAAAACATAGAGTCTTACTCTGTTGCCCAGGCTGGAGTGCAATGGCACAATCGCAGCTCACTGCAACCTCCAATCTCCCGGGTTCAAGCAGTTCTTCTACCTCAGCCTCCTGAGTAGCTGGGATTACAGGCACATGCCACCACGTCCAGCTAAATTTTGTGATTTTGGTAGAGATGGAGTTTCACCTTGTTAGCTAGACTGGTCTCAAACTCCTGACCTCATGTGATCCACTTGCCTCGGCCTCCCAAAGTGCTGGGATTACAGACGTGAGCCACTGCCCCTGGCCTGATAGTCATTCTTCTGCAAATAGTTTGGAATTGGAGACCTCAATAGTGATAACTGTAACTTCTAATTTTGTACAATAGTAACTGAGTTAGTATTTAATGCAGTGTACCCAGTCTATATCACATGCGTATTTGCTATGTTTATAACCCAACACACTGGCATATGAAATGGTTTAAAGGGAAAGTCTCCATTTCTGGATTCTTTGGAAATGTGATTACTTACAACCTGTCTTTAACATGTAGGAAAACCATTTTACTTTGATTATTTCATATCAAATTAACAACTTGCAAAATTAAGTGGAGGATAGGCAGTTATCTTAATAAACTAATACAGAAAACAACATTGGCTTAATTTCAGAGTAATCTTTTTAAATAAATTATTTTTGTTGTTAACTGAAACCACTTTTCCAATTTGTATTTATTCAGAGGAAAAATTTTTAAAAGTCACCTCGTAATGAAGACCAGCATCAGTTTATATGGTGTGAGTTCTTTTCATTTGTCTTAGATTGCATCTACACTGACAGAAGAAAGTAGAAAGGTAAGCAATTATCTTAGGATTGTACTAGTAAAAATTACATCAATTATATCTACTTGGTATAGACAGCCCTGTCTTTCAGCATAGGAAAATTGATCGTGGGTAGATTTTTCAGGGTGACTTAGTTTGAGACCAAGAAATAGTCGTTACTGTTTTTGTCAAGTATAAAATAGATTCCAGAATGCATGCCTTTGTCCTTGAAGGCCCTTCTCTTAGTATTGGACCTAATTATTTAGATATAATTTGTTAAAGGTTTTACACTTATTTAAAGAAGGCTAATGAGTCACCAGCATTTAATATTCATTCATTCATTCACTTAACAACTATTCACTGAGCACCTACTCTCTGCTAGGCGCTGAAGATACACCAGGAACCAATATAGATTAGGTCCAAGTTTTATGGATCTCACAGATCATAACCACAGCAACATTTGCTATCTGTCATTAAGAGTTTGAAATTTTAATATCTTAACCTAATGTTTATATTTTTCTTATCACTAAAGAAAAAACTATTATCAATATATTTGACAACTGATAAACTCAGTGAGACTATGTTTTACCATATATCCTTTGTTCTCTCTTTACCAGTGACTTTGCTAGCGGTAAATTCTTTTTAACTTCATTAGGCTTTCTTTTCCCTTTCCCATAGATCTAGTAGTTGAGGGAGCACCGGCTTCATGGTTGAGTCATCATTTTGCTAAATTATATAATAAATTCATAAATACTAACAGTGGAAAAACTAAGCAGTGGAGGAAAAATCCACTGTTTATCTTCATCTCCCAGTCTCCCAGTATTTTCCCAGTGGTGTCAATTGTGAAATGTTGGACTCGTAGGAAATGGGAGACAGAGCTAGTCAATGACCTGACCAAGCATCTGATGATAATAATGTTTTTATTCTATAAGGAGACACTTAAAACTGTATAAATAGACATTTTATTGTTTTCCTCTAAATGTGTTTAACTCTAAAAATGTTTTAGTGCAAAATGTGTTAGCAGTTAGCAATTGTTTGTTATACTAGTGATCCAACATCTGTTAACAATAAGGTTCTGGCATACCATCTGTATTAGTCCATTCTCATGCTGCTATAAAGAACTGCCCAAGACTGGGTAATTTATAAAGAAAGGAGGTTTAATTGACTCACAGTTCTGTGGGGCTGGGGACACCTCAGAAAACTTACAAGTATGGCGGAAGGGGAAGCAAACACATCCTTCTTCACATGGTGGCAGGAGAGAGAATGAGAACCAGGTGAAGTGGGGAGCCCCTTATGAAACCATCAGATCTTGTGAAAACTTACTCATTATCATGAGAATAGCATGAGGGTAACCACCCCCATGATTCAATTATCTCCCACTGGGTCCCACCCATGACACGTGGGGATTATGGAAACTACAATTCAAGATGAGATTTGGGTGGGGACACAGCCAAACCATATCACCATCCCATATGAGTAATTCTGAAGAAAAGGAAGCCAGAGTAGCAGGGTAGCAGTCGCCCCAAAATAACCTGGGACTACAGCTTTGGGCAGAGCAACCCCTAGGCGAAAGCTATGAAGTGAACAGAGCTGTTTATCCTTTAACTCATCTGTTCTATACCCATCTATACTGACTATGATGTTCCAACATTATGCACAAGGATGAACAAGATTTACTTCCTGCCCAAAAACATTTACACATTTTAGCTTCCTTCCTAAAGTCAGCTTCCTGAATTTTCTACACTTACATACCCATAAGGCCAGTATCCTACTGTTCTTTGGCCTCTTGATTTCCTCCTGTTATCAAAAACAGAGGCTTTTTTTTTTTTTTTTTGAGACACAGTCTCACTCTGTCGTCCAGGCTGGAGTGCAGTGGTGTGATCTTGGCTCACTGCAACCTCCACCTCCTGGGTTCAAGTGATTCTCCTGCCTCAGCCTCCCAAGTAGCTAGGATTACAGGTGCATGCCACCACACCTGGCTAATTTTTGTATTTTTAGTAGAGGCGGGGTTTCACCATGTTGGTCAGGCTGGTTTCGAACTCCTGACCTCGTGGTCTGCCCACCTTGGCCTCCCGAAGTTCTGGTATTACAGGTGTGAGCCACTGCACTCGGCCAATAGCAGAGACATTTTCCCCCTGAGTGTATATAATTTCCCAAGATCCACCATTCATGGATAAGGCCAGGCTTGATTTTGAGTCTCGAATGCTCAGTTGACTTTTAGATATGAACCCTAGATAGGAAACCAAGCTGACTACCTTTTTTTTTTTTTGGTCTTAGCATAATTAGACCAAAATCTTTTAGGCATAAGGGCACATTTCCTTTTTAGTCTCCAACTAAAGAAAAGTTTTCATGGCTTTTTAAATTTTATTATCCACGTATTTGTCCAACAAATGCTTGTTGAGTGCCTATAAAATGCCAGTCACACTGTTAAGCAAAAATAAACTTTCTTTTTTTTCCATTCACTCTGTTGCCTAGGCTGGAGTACAGTGGCTCACTCTTAGCTCACTACAACTTCTGCCTCCTGGGTTCATGCGATTCTCGTGTCTCAGCCTCCTGAGTAGCTGGGAATACAAGTGTGAGCCACCATGCCTGGCTAATTTTTGTGCTTTTAGTAAAGTCTGGTTTTCACCACATTGGCCAGGCTGGTCTTGACTTCAAGTGATCTGCCTGCCTTGGCCTTCCAGAGTGCTGGGATTACAGACATGAGTCACCACACCCAGCCAAAAAACTAAACATTTCTAATTGGCATTAGTAACACAAAACATAAAATGGATAAGTATAAATTTGACATGAATATGTGATATACTTATTTATTTATTAATTTTGAGACAGAGTCTCACTCTGTCTGTCACCTAGGCTGCAGTGCAGTGGCATGATCTTGGCTCACTGCAACCTCTGCCTCCTGGGTTCAAGTTATTCTCCTGCCTCAGCCTCCCAAGTAGCTGGGATTATAGGCACGTGCCACCACACTGGGCTAATTTTTTGTATTTTTAGTAGAGAGAGGGTTTCACTATGTTAGCCAGGCTGGTCTTAAACTCCTGGCCTCAAGTGATCCTCCCGTCTCAGCCTCCCAAAGTGCTGGGATTACAGGCATCAGCCACCACACCTGGCCTGTGATGTACATATTTAAAGAAAACTATATAACCTGACTGGGGAACATAATAGTCTAAGGACATATTCATATTATAAGTAATTTTCCTCAAATGTATATGTAAGTTTAACATAATCTCAGCGTTTGGGATTTGACAGAATGATTCTAATTACCAGTAAGAAACAAACATGTGAAAGGAACTAGTAACATTTCAAAATAGAAAAGTCTGAGCAAAGAGTGCCTTATCACATATGTAGCTACAGTAATTAAAACTATGGGTCCTGGTGCAGGGATGGACAAACCACAGAAATAAAATATCATATGGACAGTCCAATATATACATGAAATTAGCATGTGATATGGTTTGAATTGTCCCCTCCACAATTCAGGTGTTGCCAATGTGACAGTATTAAAAGGTGGGGTCGGCTGGGCATGGTGGCTCATGCCTGTAGTCCCAACACTTTTGGAAGGCCGAGGCAGGCGAATCACCTGAGGTCGCGAGTTTGAGACCAGCCCGACCAACATGGAGAAACCCCGTCTGTACTAAAAATACAAAATTAGCCGGGCGTGGTGGCACATGCCTGTAATTCTAGCTGCTCAGGAGGCTGAGGCAGGAGAATTGCTTGAACGCGGGGGAGCAGAGGTTGTGGTGAACCAAGATCATACCACTGCACTCTAGCCTGGGCAACAAGAGTGAAACTCCATCTCCAAAAAAAAAGTGGGGCCTTTAAGAGGTGATTAGGCCATGGTGAAGCCTCTTCCCTTGTGAATAGGATTAAGTGCCCTTATAAAGCGGCTTGATGAGGGAGTCAGACCTGTTTTTTGCCCTCCCACCTTCTGCCATGTGGGGACACAGCATTCCTCCCCTCTGGAGCATGCAGTTTTCAAGGGATCATCTTGGAAGCACAGACTGGACCCTCAGGAGAAAACAAACCTGCCAGCACGTTGATCTTGAACTTCCCAGCCATCAGGACTGTGAGAAAATAAATTTCTGTGTTTTATAAATTACCCAGTATCCAGTATTTTGTTATAGCAGCACAAATAGACTAGGACAGCATGTGAAAAAAGTGGAGGAGAATGGCAAAAAAAAAAAAAAAAAAGCAAAAGAAACATGAATCTAAAAATTGAAAAGCAAACCTGAAAAAGTACTTTATATATGTGTACTGCAGATGGGATTAATAACTATATATAAACAGTTATCTAAGAAAAACATAAAAATTCCAAGAACAGTAGACAAAATATATGAATTGGAAAATCCACAAAATAAACAAAAATAAGAAAAAATAAATAACATGCATGGGAAATATGTTCAATCTCACTTGTCATCCAAAACTGGATTAAAATAAGAACTTATTTTTGGCTGATGGGTGAAAACATAGTAAAATCGGTAATACTCAGGGCTGATGAGAGAGTACAGAAAATATATGCAAAGCTATCCTATCAACATTGTTTATAATACCAAAAGATTGGAAACATCCTTAAAGCCATTAAGCAGACAATTCATTAAACACTATACTATAGCCAAACAAGATAGTAGAGAACCATTCAAAATGATAACAAATAATGTTAATATAAAGAGCTGTTTTTTATGTGTACTATGATTACTTTCTGAAATAGTATGTGTAGTTTTTTAAAATAGATAACACAGATATATATAAAGTAAAAATTTGAAGTGTCCTCTACTTACCTGCCCTTCCCTTCCATCTCATTCCTTGTTGTTAAAAATCTGAGCCTGGGCAACATGGCAAAACCCTGTCTCTACAAAAAAATACAAACATTAGCCAGGCATGGTAGCATGCACCTGTAGTCCCACCTACTCAGGAGGCTGAGGTGGCCAGGTCACTTGAGCCTGGGAGGTCTAGGCTGCAGTGAGCGGTGTTTGCACCACTGCACTCCAGCCTGGAAGGCAGACCGAGACCCTGTCTCAAAAAAAAAAAAAAAAAAAATTGGTTTGTATCCTGTCAGAAATTTTTTTTTTTTTTTTTTTTTTTTTTTTTTGATGGAGTTTCACTCGTTGCCCAGACTGGAGTGCAATGGCACAATCTCGGATTACCGCAACCTCTGCCTCCCAGATGCAAGTGATTCTCCTGCTCAGCCTCCCGACTAGCTGGGATTACAGGCATGTTCCACCACGCCTGGCTAATTTTGTATTTTTAGTAGAGACGGGGTTTCTCCATGTTGGTCAGGCTGGTCTTGAACTCCTGACCTCAGGGGATCCACCCACCTCAGCCTCCCAAAGTGCCGGGATTACAGGTGTGAGCCACTGTGCCCAGCCCCTGTTAGATAATTTTCTGTACAAATAAAATCATATATCCATGTGTCTACATAGGGATTTATATTTGTATCTACATATCAACATACAGGATTTTGTTGTTGCTGTTGTTGAGACAGAGTCTTGCTCTGTCGCCCAGGCTGGAGTGCAGTGGCACGATTTCAGCTCACTGCAACCTCTGTCCTGTGGGTTCAAGCAATTCTCTGCCTCAGCCTCCCAAGTAGCTGGAATTACAGACACCCACAACCATGCCCAGCTAATTTTTGTAATTTTAGTTAGCCTCCCAAAGTGCTGGGATTACAGGCATGAGCCACTATGCCCGGCCAACATACAGGAATTTTAAATGAAATACGGGTCATACTATGTGTGTGTGTGTGTGTGTGTGTGTGTGTGTATATATAATTAAATAACTTGCTTTTTATCTACAATATATCAAGAATATCTGTGATATATTAAATTAAAAAAATAAGTGAGGCTGAGGCAGGTGGATCACGAGGTCAGGAGATCAAGACCATCCTAGCTAACACAGTGAAACCCTGTCTCTACTAAAAATACAAAAACTTAGCCAGGCATGGTGGTGGGCACCTGTATTCCCAGCTACTCAGGAGGCTGAGGCAGCAGAATGGCATGAACCTGGGAGGCAGAGCTTGCAGTGAGCTGAGATCGTGCCACTGCACTCCAGCCTGGGCAACAGAGCAAGACTCCAACTCAAAAAACAAACAAACAAACAAAAAAACACACATAAGTGGGGGAAGAGGGAGGGGTGTGTGTGTGTATATATGTAAGTGTGTGTATGTGTGTGTGTGTGCACGCACCTGCTGACAAAAAAGTCTGGGCAAATAGATTCCTTAGTGGAGAGAGTACTGATGGGTTTTTTTTTTGTTTTTTTGTTTTTTTTTTGAGTCAGAGTCTCACTCTGTCGCCCAGGCTGGAGTGCAGTGACATGATTGAGGCTCACTGCAGCCTCAACCTCCCAGGCTCAGGTGATTTTCCTACTTCAGCCTCCCCAGTAGCTGGGACTACAGGCTCATAATACCACGCCTGGCTAATTTTTGTATTTTTTGTAGAGATGGGGTTTCACCCTGTTGCCTAGGCTGGTCTTGAACTCCTGAGCTCAAGTGATCTTCCTGCCTCAGCCTCCCAAAGTGTTGGGATTACAGGCATGAACCACCGCACCTGGCCAACGTTTATTTTTTTGATATATATTAATATATTCCTGTTGTTTAACTTTTGAAAATAATGAATATATATTACTTTTTAATATTACTTTTACAACCAGAATGAAATCTGTTTTCATTACAAAGGGAAAACAACCCCACAGTTCTACTGGGAAACTTGTAAGCCAGCATTTGGTTGAGGTCTCACTGATAAATGGTGAGTTATTACCCTTATGACCTCCTGCCTCTTCATAGTCTGCAAGTTAATATTAATATTCCATATTGTAAATAAAAATGTGAACTACATAAACTACATATATTTAAAGTGAATTGTGACTACATTTAGGATTTCTAGATGATATGGAGCTTGCATTTTTCTGGTTTATCGACTTGGATAGTTATTTCTATAATTACTATAATCCAGCAATAACAGGACAAATGAAAGCTACCACAGCAGGAAGGAATTAAAAACCGCAATCATTTTGTTGCCATTTTTGTTATTGCCATAGGTGGTAAGATTGATTTCCTTTTTGAATCCAAGGAACTGAGCTATAAATGACCCTTCCAGGGTGAACAGAGGGAGAACACCTTCTATGCACAGTCAGCATTCTCTACCATCCATTCTGTTAGACTGCAGGTCAGCAAGGAAAAGGGCCTACCTGGTGTGTAGATTGACTTGTGGCTAAACTGGGGCACCTATTTGGGCACTTCTACAGCCCCTTCAGTGTCCTTTTTCCTCTGAGGATGAATACTCTTCTATTCCCACCCTCATTTTCTTTATAATATCTGCTTTCAGAAAAAGTCTGAAATGTGCTTATAATGTGCCACCACCTAAATAGGGAACAAACCTAGGGCAGTGTTGGGGCTGGAATGATCAAGTCTGGCACAGTCTCTAGACCTTGACTAAATATCTGAAGATGAGAGCTCCAAGACAAGCTGCTCCTAGCCCCTATATCTATGTAGAGTCGTGAATTTGTAGCTATAATAAAATATCTTACCTATAAAGTTCTGGCCCTATGGATGTGGGTGTTTTTATGCCTTTGTGGGTGTCTTCTCTTCCATGTTTGGCCTTGCTTTTTATGCCCCTATTTCTTTTTCTCTCTTCATTTCTTTTCTTTTCTCTTTACTTTTTCCTCTTAACTGGCCATAATATATTGCAAAAGCTGATTTCTTATTGACCTTATCAAGTAATTATATTTTCTATATACTTTAATAATGAAACTTGGCTGGCACTTATTTGGAGGCTAGGGGTCAACTACGTTTTATATTCCATTATCACGAATTGATATTGCATTATTCATTTATAGGGTTATTTCTCCCAATAGGGTGTAAACACCCTGAGAGCTGGGCCTTGGTCTCATTCTCTGCTGTATTCCAATGGGGTCCACTCTGCAGCAACAGCAGAGGTCCTTCATTTACCCTTTCCCAATCCCAATCCTTTCCTTTTCCCCTGAAAGTAACTACATCTTGAGTTTTATGTTCATTGCTTTCTTGCTTTCTTTGTAGTTCTGTTACCCATGATGCACCTCTAAACTCTGATGCTTAATTTACCTTCTAATTATATACATCTTTTAGGTCTCTTCTACTCTACCCCTTCAATCCCCTTTGCTCCACCTTTTTCTGCTTATTTCTGAAAGAAACTGGGTTGTTTTATTTGACTTGTAGAGTTTCCCACATCTGTATTTTGCTGATTGCATTCCTATGTAATTTACACTTGTCTGTCTTCTGTATTTTCTATAAATTGGTAGTGAGATTATGGGCTTAATCAGATTCAGGTACAATTTTCAGGCTAGACTTCTTTGTAGGTGACTTGTAGAAAATATGTAATAACTGTCTCTCTCTGTGTGATGTTGGCAACCATTGATCCATTAATTCATCAGGAATTGAAAACTTCTCTACTTCTACTTGCTTACTTTGTAGAGAAAAGACAATAAATGCTTAATGAAAGTGCATCTTTAGGTATACAAAATATATAAAACAAATATTTACAAATAAGAGCACTTACTAACCATAGACCTACAGTGAAAGATCTACTAAAAGACACACTTCAGTTAGAAGAACAGTAAACCCAGGGAGAAAAAAGTAAATGTAAGCAAAAATGAAGAGCATAGAAATCGATAAATTAAGTTGGTAAGTACAATTAACTATCAATATAAAAAATAATTTGAGGGTTAAAAATAATGTGGGGGCCAGACGCGGTGGCTCACGCCTGTAATTGCAGCACTTAGGGAGGCTAAGGTGGGCAGATCACCTGAGGCCAGGAATTTGAGACTAGCCTGGCCAACATGGCAAAAACCTATCTCTACTAAAAATACAAAAATTAGCTGGGCATGATGACATATACCTGTAATTCCAGATACTCGGGAGGCTGAGGCAGGAGAATTGCTTGAACCAGGAGGTGGAGGTTGCAGTGAGCTGAGATTGCACCATTGCACTCCAGCCTGGGTGACAAGAGTAAAACTCCATCTAAATAAATAAATAAATAAATAAATAAATAAATAAATAAATAAATAATGTAAGAGTACTTACTAGGTAATTAAAGCTTATTTAGCTTTGTGTCTTGTTCAAGAGAATCAAAAAATACTGTGTATGTAACTGGAGACTTTATAGGAAAAATGTAGAGATAAATATTCATGTTAAAAAAAATAAAAATGCTACACATAGCTTTAAA